AGAAAGAAAATTAACCAAAGGCACTTATTATAGTTGCCAGCATCAACAATTAAGTAATAGTAAATGTAATGCGTGTGATACAGAGAGAGAGAGAGAGAGAGAGAGCAATTTAGAACAGGAAAGAGAAATTAAATGAAAAAGATACCAAGAATTATATAATAAAAAAGAAAGAGAAGGTTTTAAATTTCCCGACCAAGAACAGCAAGAAATAGACCGATTAGAAGTTTGAAGTAGAGAAAAATTAGGTGGTGAATATTGAAGTGGGGGAAATTTTGGGGGTAGTTTAGACAAAGACCCACAAGGAAGCAATACTGCTTTTTATGCTTGTAAAAATAATTGTAGTAGTGGTTCGATAGTGGAAATTAGTTCTAATATGAATGTGGATGATAAAAGAATAAAATATGAAGTAAAAAAAGATTGTTATTTTGGCCCTCATTACCAACGACAAAATGATTTTACTTGTGCTACTTGCTACGAAAAAAATAATAGTCCTAATCTCCCCAGTCCATCCAATCCTAACCAGCCAAATAACCCCAGCCCCAACAATAATTCTAACCCCACTATCCCCAATTCTGTCCAAGAATATTTTCAAGCCAATAATGTTAAAAAAATTGAGTTAGAAAATAATAAATGAATAATTACTTACAACGGCAATAAATCACCAAAAACTATTCCTGTGGCTGATACTCCTGCTCAAATTCAACCTTTAAGAGCCTATTTTCAGAATAATAATAAAAACTCTTTAACCCAGGAAGAATTAAGCAGAATTAATACTAGTTCTGGTGGAAAAGACAAAGGCAATAATTATCTCCCTTGAATATTAGGCATTGGAGGAATATTTATAGTAGCAATAATTATTTACTTCTTAACTAAAAGAAAAAAACATTAATCCTCCATATTCTCCACCCACCCCTCAATCATTTCAGGCTTAAAACATTCGCAACCTTTTCTATGTTGCTGATTTTTATCAGTAGCAAAAGGGCAAGTTGGTCGGTTTCTTTTAGGGTCTCCGTGGTCTAATTCTCATTCTTGGGTCAAAGGTCAATCATAATTATGCCAATCCTCGGGCAACATTCCCTCCCCTTCTAATAAAAATACTTCATAAACTAATCTCTGAATATTACTTTTTAATTGTCTCACTCCCCATTCTTTACATAAACATTTCTTAATCAAATCTAAATCAAATTTATCTTTTAACCTACTAATTTCATACTTGGCAAAATTATAATCAATCAATCCTTGGGCCACTTCAATTCTTTCAGCAAAAGTAAGAGGTTCAATTTTTACTCGGGTTAATCTACTTAATAAAAAAGGTTCAATATCTTCGGGATAATTAGCTGTGCAAAAAAATATCACCTCATTTATCGGCACAGGAAAATCAAAAAAGACATCTTTAAATTTCTTGTTAAGAGTTTCATCTGTCAAATTCCCTAATACTTGCTGAACGGATTTATCACACTTCTCAAACTCGTCTAAAAGAATAATCGGGGCTCGGGTTTTATATTTAATCATGGTTTTTAAGATTTCTCCTACTCCTGCCCCAGCCCATTCTTGGGGAACTCCAAAAAATATGCTGCTCTCTTTTTTT